ATGCACCTACTTTTCTTCCATTCCCTTATTTCTTCTGTCTCTCTCTTTTTCAGAAAGTTCAAAATGTCTCTATCTCATGAATAACCTTATCTAAGAATATAATCTAATGCATATCCTATGAAGTATGGTATTGTGGTTGGATTGTTGTACGGGAACTCAGGAGAACTGGGTTCTAATACCCATGAAGCCACAATGTTCAAGGTACTCTCAGCCTAATGTACCTCACAAGGTTGTTGTGAGAAGAAAAATGGAGATAGGGAGAAATTTGAAAGCAATCTTGAGTTCCTTGCAAGAGAAAGAAAGGTGGGGTATAAATGTAATAATAAATATATGCATTGTGTAATAATATTTTTATTTCCTCCATGTTCCGCTATTTCCCAGTCAACCAGGATAAGGTTATCCCCTAAATCTCTGACTTTTTGTCCCTTTTTCAAAGAATAACATGAGTCCTTTCATTAGATGCTATCTGAATTCAAGGTTCATTTCCATGGAGAAAATGTGGTCACCCACAAATCCCCAGTTCATTTTGTCCCCTAAAATGTGTTTGGCCAGAAAGATTATGAGGAGTCAGGACAAAGAACAAACTTTACTCCGCCAAAGACAGACAGAAAGAGAGCCTCCAATGCACACGTTAGAGCACAAAACTGAAAGCAACAAGGAGCCTGTTGAAAGAGTGATAAAATTACCTCAGTGGTAGGAAAACCAGAAGAATTCCAATGTTACTGCATGAAGGAAAGATAGCGAAATAAGGGTAATGGCAGAGAAGTAATTACAGAACACTGGAGGAAAGATGGGTACAGAATGATGCAGAAGCAAAGGACAAAGAAGCAAAAGATTTCAGCAACTGTCAATCCAGCAAAGCAAAGATAAACGCAGGCTAGCAGTCAGTCTGTATAAAAATCAATGGAACAATGACACTGACAACACACATACACACACACACACATGTGCACACGATAAAGTGTTTTAATTTTCTAGTATTATATACAAACAAAAGGAGATTTATTGCCAGTTCTAGGAGTGAAATATCATAGATCGCTGCAAGAAAAACTGAATATAGAACACTTCATGATCATTTTAAAGCAGTTAATTTAATCACCACATATGACTCAGAGCAGTATCTGCAAGCTAAAATAGGAAGGAATTCCATGCAATTCCTGAAGCTATTACTCATTCACATTTAATAGCAGATGAAGAAGGCTTTCTAAATGTGGATGTGCTATAATCAACAGCCTTGGGCAATTTTATGCAACTAGTGACAATTAAAAGGAACACTTATTCAAATTCTTTCCTGGCTGCTAATCTATGAATTACCACCCACTCAAGAAAGACTATTTGTTGATGATGGGAGCTGCCAGTGACCTCCACATTGACCTCACACAAGTACTCCTCAGCTGGTTTGTTCATGCATTCATTAACTTCACAGCCCTCCATTCTGGGGTGTGTGTGTGAGAGAGACTTGCTGGCTAGACAGGAAAAAATAGACAGAAATAGCATGAAGCAGAAGCCACCATAGTGAGTGAGTGAACTTACTTCTCTGTGGCAGGTGCTTTTTGTCAAAGAGAACATGGTATGAATGTAGAAGGAAACAGGGACATGGCATATAAGAAAAGCCCTGCTGGATCAGACCAAAGGGCCATCTAGTCCACCACTCTGAACATGGTGGCCAAGCAGCTGCCCAAAGGATCCCTCAAGCAGGAGGTCTGCAAGACCTGCACCTGCTCATGCACCTCAGCAACTAGTGTAAGCAGGCACACCGCCTCTGGTGAAGGTGGAAACACATAGCCAGCAAGGCTACTAGCCACAGAAAGCTAGCTTCACTGACTATTAGTCTGTTTCTGGCAGGATTCAAACGTTGAGTATGATCTATACATCTCTATATAGCTTGGGACATAGCCAGCAAAATTAGCAGCCACTGGTAGCTTCCTCCCTCATGAATCTGTCTAATCCCTTATTAAAGCCATCCAGATTAACAGCCGTCACCACTTCCTGTAGCAGCGAATTCCACAGTTTAACTATATGCCGTGGGAAGAAATATTTCCTTTTATCTGCCTTAAACCTCCTCCCAATCAGCTTCATGGTATTCAAATGCTATGGGAGAGGAATAAAAATGTCTCCCTCTCTACTTTCCTCACACCATGCATTATTTTAAAGATCTCTATCATGTCTAACATCTCCATGTGCTGAGTCTTCAACTTCATCAGCATGTTTAGCAATGATTCCTCCTAAGGAAGCACAGAGCTAAATGACTGCACTGTCTAAATCTCCCTCAAAAGTCTGCCACTGAAAGGAATATTCTGACTTCCTTTGTAGACATGTCCTCGAATCCCCCAAAGCTTTGCAAATTGTTCTCCCTCTGCCATTCAGGCCAAGCACATTAGTGGCATTCTGTATTCTTCTTTTTGGTGCTTTGATATTTTAAGCGATGTGGTACTATCATATGCCTAGCCACTCCAAAGTAAGTTCCAATAACTTCAATGAGAGTGTTATATTTCAGGATTTTAGTCTTAGATTTGGAGAGATTCCATTTTTTTTTTTTTTTTTTGCTAACTAGTAACTATGGACCACTGTCTTTGAGTGCAATCCAAAAATCATTCGGGTTTGCCTTTATATTAGTACGCTGAATAGTGCCATTCAGAAATGATATTTAAAGGTGAAATGTCCCAGGAATGTTAAACAGTGTTGCAATATAACCCAGCTAAGTAACCAGCAGGTTCCACATACCAAGTTCGTTTACTACAAGGAACAAGTTCTATTACATCCCACCAATTTTCCTTTTGTGAAGAACCAAAGATAGCTTATATTTTTATCCTAACAACAACCTTGTGAGGTAGGCTAGGCTGAGAGTGAGTTACAAAGCTTCATGGCTGAGTGGGACCCAGAATTCCAAGCTCCCCAGTCCAGCACTCAGGGCACCGCACCACACTGGCACTCACCAGCTTTTAAATTTGATAGCCGTGGAGCGGAGAGCTGTGATTGGCAGGTTTCTCCCACAGTGACAGCGTGACATCAAAAGGCTCACCAGCATTTGGTCACGTGGCTCCTTACCACTCACTTGTGGACTGGCTGGCATTAGCACAATGAATGACTGATTAAGAGCTACGCAGGTGGCCCGGTCCAGGTCCTGGTGAGCCTCTGGATGTTACAGCACAGCCACGGGGGTAAACTTGTGGGAAAGAAGCTTCCCAATGAGGATATTACTGCCTTTTAAACTTTGATCAATTAACAGGACCACCTTAATCTCTCACTGGAAACTGCCTGTTTGCTCAGCTGTAAGTTATGTACCATTTTCTTTAGTAACTGACCCTCCCTAGATCGCCCTTCCTCTTGCTACATGTTCTCAGGGAATGTCTGTGTAGGTTCATCGCTCAAGTACAGAGCATGCAGAGAGTTCAGAAAGTGTAGTCGCTTCTAACATGGCACACATTTTATGATTGGGAGTAATTTAATTTTCCCTCTTTAACCCGACTGTTGAGCCTCTCATTATGTGCAATACCTTTTCTGCCCAAGTCCATGAAAATATTGAAGAAAAGAGCTCCCCTTTGTTTAAAGGTGGACTTTCTGTTGACCTAGAGAGCTAAGTAGAAGTGGCGCTGTGGTCATATCCAAGGTGAGGATGAAAGCACCTGCTTCTGGCCTAACTGGCCGTCTCTCAAATAATTCCAAAGCTTGTATTGACCATATTCTTCATTTCTACTACCCATGATTATTTAGAGGATATCGGTGATCTTTAATTGGGGTTGTACACTCTGAAATCCAGGCAGCAAGTAAGGCTAACAATGCTTTCCATTTAAAATAAAAATTAAACATTATCGATAACACCTTTGTTATGCCTGGTAATGGCTTTATTTTGCATAAATTAACCTTGTTTTCATAAGAATATGAACATCTCCTGACGATAGTCTTCAGATACCAACTAGTGCTGTTATTTCCAGCAACTACATGATAAAATATTTTTGATCAGTTTGACTCCAGGAAAACAAAGAAAAATGTTTGAAGTTGCAAAGGGATGGCACATAACATTGGAAGGACAGAAAGTATTCATCATGTACAGGACTGCAGTATAGTGCAACATAAAACTGGTACTACAATGGAATGATGGGAAACATTTTGTGGGCGAGAAACCCACTACTCGTTAGAGTCCATCCTTGCCTCTTATGGATTTTTTACCCCAGTTTTTTCTGTGTTTATAGCAATATGTATTTTCCTGAGCATAGTAAAAGCAAAAAGTAAAGGAATGCATAATAAGATGTGCATTTTTATCAAACCTGAGTTTTTCTTAGAGAAAGACTTATCATATATTGTGAAATATCACTTTGGAAGCCCTATGACTTTATCAAGCTGCAGAGAGAGAGAATGAGTACACACAAAAGAGAAAAAACACCATTCTGAAATATCTGTAACACTGAGACACTGTTTGCAGACCAGTAATTCTACATGCCAAATGAACAACTTCAGAGGAGAATTAGAAGCAAGTGGATTTGAAAATATGAGTTTTTAAATAATTAAGACAAATCAAGCTTTCACAATTGCATTGTTTGGTTCAGTGTGAGGAGATGAAATGGCAACTTGCTGAATAATTGATTAAATATAGTCTCAGTTTTCAAGCCAAATTTGGTGGATGCAAAAATAATAACGAAAACTAACAGGTGCACAAAAAGAAACAAAGAAAAGAAGAAATTGAAAAATCCTATCAAGTGCTAGAAAACACTTTCTTTGATGTTATAGCTTAATGTTTATCTACAAAATTAAATAATAATGATTTTTTTGGCTCACAAAGCAGCTGAACAAATCTGGAACAGGCAAGGAAATTTCTCATTAAAAATAGAAACTCTCTATGACATCATTACTCCACCTTTCTGACTGCGGCAGACAATAGGAACTGTGGGTTTTACTAATATGGCTGCTTTAATACACAAAGGGAATGAAGAGCTATTCACAACCATTTAGTAAATTATCAAGAGATAAAGAAAATAAAATCCTATACAACTTTTGCTTACCTTTCACAGCGCAGGCCAGCGTATCCAGGTTGGCACTGGTCACATATGAATCCATGACTTTGGTCCAAATGGCAAGTGGGGCTGAAACTTGGTGGTTGATGCAGGGCAAGGAGGGGGACACAGAGAAAACAGAAAAAGGAATTTGTTAGCAGCATAGTTGGTGCCCTTCTTCAGAAAGCACTGCTTTCCAAACAGAGCATGGGGAAAGTCCGTCTGGCTTCACACATGGGGCTTAGGATTGGCTCCAGCCGGTAGCGATTGGAATGACTCTGCTATTTCTGCCGACACTGGATATAGCTCAAACGGGTGGCAGCATCCAAGTGACATGTTGTTACGGGACTTGCGTCTATCAATGAGCTGCTCTGCTGTTTAAAAATACAGGAATGTACAGCTGTTTGTCTGAGCCCTTGAGGGCCTGGCAGTACAGTCTACTCCCGAGTTAGATCCCACTGCAACTGATGGGAAAGCTCAGTAAACCCAGGCTCCATATGTGATGGAATACTATGCTGCATTAAAGAGTGAAAAGGAAGGGAAACTTCATGGCAATGCTGTTTTTCAGGCCTGCCTGAAGCCTGACCTTAGGCTATGCACAGATCACTGAATGGAGGTGGCTTGCACCTTAACCTTGAAAAGCATTGGGCAGTAACCTGTTGGTGTCTCACTGCTGATAGATGGCAGCTGTCAGCAGAATGCAGAAGAAGAAAAATTTTGACCATTTGCCCTTTCTCCTGCAATTTCCCACACTATTCCAAACAGTCTCCTAATCTCTAGGAATGGATTTTAGGGGTACAAGGGAGCCTTAGAGCTGGAAGAAACTGCCTTCCATCAACATAGAAACATATTGGATGCTACCTATAATCAATAGAAACATTTGTGGATACTTCCCATCTTTCCAAGCTTCCAATTCTAATATAATTGCAAAAAAAAAAAAAAAAAAAAACAGGGCCTGGCAGCTATCTTCTATTATTTATATTGCATTATGAAGCATAATCAGATGTATGTAACTTTGTAGTGCAATCCTGTATGTGTCTCCTCAAAAGTAAACAGCACCAACCTCAAGGGCCTGCCTTGCTTCTAGGTTAGGTGTATATGGACGTTACAGCAGTGGGGGCTTAACGTGTCCGCGTAGAAGGAGGGACAGATGGCTGACACCCGTCCCTCCTTCCGGTTCTGCCCCCAGTCAGAGGGTTCCAGGTAGTCTTGTCAACCGCCCCTCGGGCCTGACGGTGCTGCTGCTTAAGACCAGGTCAGTCCACAATAAATCTTCCCTCATCCATGACTTGATTGTAGATAAGGGGGCCGACCTGGCTTGCATAACGGAGACCTGGGTGGGAGAGGGGGGGGGATGTCGCTCTCTCTCAAATGTGCCCACCCGGGTATTTGGTTCAGCATCATCCATGCCTGGAGGGGAGGGGAGGGGAGCGGGGGTCGCTTTGGTTTACCGAGCCTCCATCTTCCTCACGGGTCTTCCGGTCCCTTCGAGACCAGGGCTGGAGTGCCTCTACTTGGTGTTGGGCGATCGAGACAGATTGGGGATTCTGTTGGTGTACTGTGCACCCTTCTGCCCAACAGTCTCCCTGCCTGAGCTGACAGAGATCGTCTTGGACCTGGTGTTGAGGACCCCCAGGATGTTGGTCCTGGGGGACTTCAATCACCATGCCAAGACTGGTCTGACTGGGGTGGCTCAGGACTTCATGGCCTCCATGACAGCCATGGGGCTGTCTCAACATGTCACAGGCCCGACCCATGAACGTGGACACACTCTGGACCTGGTTTTCTTGACGGGGCAGGAAGAGGGTGGTCTGAGGGTGAGGAATTTATGTCTGACACCCCTGTCATGGTCAGATCACTTCCTCGTGAGGTTTGAGCTCAACAGTGGCCTTTCCCTCTGCAAGGGTGCGGACCCGATTGTATTGGTCTGCCCCTGGAGCTGGGTGGATCCTGATGGATTCCTGGAAGCTCTGGGGATTTTCCTGTTGACAAGACTGGTGATCCTGCCGAGGCTCTGGTCGAACTACGGAACGGGGAGATGACTAGGGCTGTTGACACGATCACGCCTAAGCGTCCTCTCCCACCAGGCAGAGCCCACTCTTCCCCTTGGTATACACCTGAATTGCGGGTATGAAGCAGGCTGGGAGACGGCTAGAGCGTAGGTGGAGGAGATTACGGGATGAATCTGACTGAACACACTTAAGAGCCCATTACTGGGCCTATGCTGTGGTGGTGAGGGCAGCGAAAAAGAAATTCTTTTCCGTTTCCATTGCCTCCTCAAAATGCCATCCGGCAGAGCTTTTTCGAGTGGTACAAGGCCTGGTCCACCCTGGCCCTGAGAAAGATCTGGTTGCACCCTCGCCCACTGTGACGACTTTGCTAAGCATTTCAGGGAGAAAATCACTGAGATTTGTCACGAGCTAGACTCTACTAGTGATTCAGAGGCTTCTGGGCAGATACCAATGTCGCCATCTGGTCCAAAATTAATGGATGAATTTCAGTTATTGCGGCCTGATGATGTAGACAAGGTGCTTGGACGAGTACGTCCCACCACTTGCCTATTGGACCCTTGCCCATCTTGGTTAATAAACAATGCCAAGCACGGGATTGGGATCTGGATCTTGGAAGTGGTTAACGCTTCTCTGAGGGAGGGTTGGGTACCTGCCCCTTTAAAGGAGGCGGTAGTCCGACTGGTCCTGAAGAAAGTGTCATTGGATCCAGAGATGGCCACTAATTATAGACCAGTGGCCAACATCCCGTTTTTGGGCAAGGTGTTGGAGCGGTGGTGGCGGGACAACTCCAAGCACTCTTGGATGAAACTGATTATCTGGACCCATTTCAGTCCGGCTTCAGACCCGGGTACGGTACTGAATCTGCCTTGGTCACCCTGTACGATGACCTGTGCAGGGAGAAGGACAGGGGGAGTACGTCCCTGTTGGTTCTTCTGGACCTGCTGAACCGGTGCCTGGCCAAGGTAATGGGCTGGATGAGGGCCAATAAACTGAAGCTCAGTCCAGACAAGATGGAGGTCCTGTTGGTTGGCAGATCGGGCTTCGGGGAGGGTGAATTGAACCTAGTCCTGAATGGGGTTGCACTCCCTCTTAGGGACAAGGTTCACAGCTTGGGAGTGCTCCTCGAACCAGAGCTTTCACTGGAAGCTCAGGTGACAGCTGTGACGAGGAGCGCTTTCTTTCAGCTTCGGCTGATCCATCAGCTGCGCCCCTACCTGGAGTACAACTGCCTGGTGACAGTGACACACACGTTGGTGACTTCCCGACTTGACTTCTGTAGTGTGCTCTACGTGGGGCTACTGTTGAAGATGGTCCAGATACTTCAATTGGTTCAAAACAGAGCTGCCAGGCTGCTGACGGAGACTGGGCGTTATGTTCACATGACTCCAGTCCTCCGTCAGCTTCACTGGCTTCCCATTGAAGTCCGGGCCCAATTCAAGGTGTTGGTGATAACCTATAAAGCCCTAAACGGTTTGGGTCCTGGTTACCTGAAGGAGCGCTTACATCCATATATGCCCGCCCACTCCTTGAGATCTGCGGGAGAGGCCCTTCTCCGGGAACTCTCCGTGAAGGAAATTAGGAGGGTGAGTAGTCGGAGGAGGGCTTTCTCTGTGGTGGCACCCAATCTATGGAATGCGCTCCCCAGAGAGGGCCGCCTGGCGCCGTCGTTATTTGTTTTTCAGTGCTAGGCAAAGACCTTTTTATTCAAATATCATTTTAATTGTTAACAGTATTTATTCATTTCATTCTTTGGCCAGGATGAATTAATTTATACTATTAATTTATATTATTCTATGGAAGTTTATTTATGGATATGAGCCGCCCCGAGGCTTCGGTGAATGGGGCAGCATAGAAGCCTCCTAAATAAATAAATAAATAAATATGGTTGCAGCATTAATTAGATTGTCACTACAATAGCAATTAGCCACCCTCTATAAACTCTTGCTACCCTGATGTTTCAAACTGGTTGCATACATAGGAGATGGAGCTTTATATTGGCTTATTTCATGCCTCCCTTGTTTTTTACAAATAAGATAATAGGAACACAATTGTATCTCTCGGCAGCCTAGTCATTTGCATGTTTACAAACCCCTCTGATAGTATTTTACCCAAGCTGTGTACCTCTGCCTTCTAGCATTTTGTTTTCAGTTTTTCTCCCCTCTAGTACCTGATTGACACACAGTAATGAGGTAATGTGCTGGCACATGGAAAGATACAAGCAGTTTGAAACAACAGGATCCCTGTCACTCTACTATTTTAAAGAGATCAGCCTTCAATTATTCTGCCTTTGCTTTCACTTCAGGACTTGTTTGCACTGCATAGCCATTCAGCTTGGCAAAACAACCCAGCAGTAGACCCAGAGCCCTAGGAAAAAGCTTGCTTATTCTGGGTGCACTAGTGGAATAAATATAAGCAAGCCACGAGAACTGTCATTCTTCCATTAAGGATGAAACTTTGCAGTACTAGGGGATGTTTTGAAGATTCCTAATATGTCCTAAGAATTGGCCAGTCATCAGTACAATGGAACACTATTTTCTTGTTTGTTCTTTCTGTAACCACAGGCAATAACTTTTAATAATGTAATTCTATTCTAATCCAATAGAATCCAGTATACTAACTGCACAGAACTGCACAGGTACTTGGTCTATGAGGACTCAAAGGTACAACTAGCCCAGGGTGAGAAACTTGTGGTTTTCCAGGTTCTTATGGACTATAGCTCCCATCAGCCCAAGCCAGCACAGACAGTGAGGAGGGATCATGGAGGCTGCAGTCCACCAACATTTGGAGAGTCACAAGCTGAGCATCCCTGATTTAGTTCATCATCCTATTCTCTGCAATGATCAGTTAGATACCTGGATGTGAGACAGTATGTAAGAAATTTAGCATAATGACTATATAGTGCCCCACCCTCCATCCACCATTTCTTTCTCACACTGCAAGCATACTTCACACATGGCCTCATCAGAAGATCTGTTGGAGGAAAACTCTCAGTCTTGCATTCAGTGTGGCTTAGATGAGTGGATTCCTCACAATCAGATCCATTCTTGTAGGCATTGCTGCAATAAGCACATTTAGACAGACCATTCTTCTAAACAGATCTACTTGCACAAATACCTATTTGAGATATTAGCATTTACATTTATAGATTACACATCATTTATGTATTGCATTTGAGATATTACCAAGGCATAGATTAGAATAAGGACCTACAATCAGCCTGACATTGCAAAGTGTAACCTTGTACCTGCATCAGGATGAAGGGAAATTGTTCTTTAGCTTGCATGTACACATTTCTGTTGAAAGCCACTCTGGTGTAATAGTTAAAGCATTGGACAGGAACTCCAAAGACCCTGGCTCTGGTTCCTGCTTGACTGTGAAGTTTAGTTCATTGAGTGGCTGTCAGGCCAACCCTACTGCACAGGGTTGTGAGAATGAAATGAAAGGGAACCACCTTGGGTTCCGAGCAAGAGAAAAATGGTGGGATATCAATTTAATAATAATAATGGGCGGCATGGTGCTGTAAGCCAGAGATGGTCAGTTAGCTTTCTACTGAACCTTATCCAGCCCACATCCCACTTTTGTCCCCCAGTCCTCACACCCATCAAGCACACGATATATCCTGCTGGTTCTGATCTGGGAGGTGTCCCTGAGCACCTGGAAAAGGCATTATCACACCTTCACGTCACAGTCCAATGTGGGAAGAATGGCTGGGATCAGTAGTTGCCCCATGCTTCTTGCCAGGTAGCCATCATATCAGGAAATTAGATCTTATGACTATGAGAATTCTTGTTTCCTGGGATGGTGCCTGTCAGTGTGAAAGTCACGCTGTTCTTTCTGGTGCATTCATCCAAGAAGGAATATTCATTCATCCAAGAAGGAATATAGTAGTCCCTGCTTGGCCATGGAGACAACTGGGTGACTTTGGGCCAGTCACAGACTTGTTGTGGGGATAAGATGGAGGGGGAGAATGATGTAAGCTGCCTTGAGCCCTTTGTAGGAAAAAGGCAGGATATAAATAAATAAATAAAAAATAACAAAAGGAAAAATGGTATGACTCTTTCTTGGCGCTTTTCCTTTCAGGTGCCTCTGCCAACTTCTGGAGCGTTATGAGGTAGGACTATGCACTTTTCCTGAGCCAAAGCACAACGGATGTCATAGGGGATGGCCATCCAGCCACCACACCACCAAAACAGAGACAATCTTGCCCTCCAGTCCCAAAAATGGAGCCATAGCTAAATATGACTTAGCCCTGGCTGCACAGGCACATCGTTCTTATCAAAAGCCCGGATGTCCAATGTTTCACTTCCTGTATCAAATGGGTCTCCAAGGCTCTGTTGGCACATGGATCTCTTAGAATTATAGTGAATCTATTACATCTATTCTAAAGGTTATTAAATCTATTCTCAAGGCCGTCTCAGAGGCTGTGCCCCATTTATGAAATGACCTTCTGAAAGTAGTTCGGCTGGCACCATCTTAACAATCTTTTTGGTGCCAGGCGAAAACCGTCCACTTCTCCAGACTTTTTAACAACTGATTTTATATTTGGATTTTATTCATACTGTTTTTAGTGTTAATATATTTTAACTTATTGACATCTGACCTAGTCTGTGTATTTCTGTTTTATTGTATGCTGTTTTTATTATTATTTTATGTAATATTGTTATTTTATGTAATTTTACTATTTTATATGATATTGTAAACTGTTAAGAGAGTCTTCTGACTAGTATAGTGGAATTTAAGTTGAATAAATAATATCCTTTGCCTATTTGTCTAGTTAACATGAAAACCATGGAATGTGAGTTGGGTTACTACATGTTGATGTTGTGCTGATGTTCATCTCATTGTCTGGGACTTGAACAGCAGGATTGCATATTTTTATTTTATATTCATGTTAGCCCATCTATTGTTTACTTCACAGCATGCCCATAATTGATAAGGGATGCTTCCAGAGGCAGTTGCATCCCATTTTTCCTGACAGACTGTGCAACTTACTTATTCGAAGGCGTACTCAGAGGGCAGGCGCACAGCTGACAGTCACTGGGTTTTCCTTTAGTAGCATCTCCATAGAAACCAGGAAGACATCTATCACAATACAGCCCACCAGTGTTGTGCTTACAGTCCTAAACAGGCAGGGGAAGACACAAAGACATATTGTCAGAATATCATAGAACAGCTGGTAAAAACACAATAGGGCTTGTAATCCACTCTGGCTGGCTCTTTGTCTGTTCCGTTTTTATCTTGCATCTCCTCCAAGAACCGAAGGCAGCAAACTTTGTAGCTTCCCAGTCTCCACCACTGGAGGTTCTCAACAACCTCATACAATACATCAGACAGACCATGAATGGCAAAAGGCCACACAGTAGTATTTGTGAGATTTCCCAAATTTCTCCAATTTAAGTCCAACACCAACATCATCGACCAGTGTATATTTAAGCTGGTATCTGCTAGGTCCACTAATGACCCTACCTCAGCTCAGCAAACATGACGGTTTCTGAGTAAAACTGAACTGTGAATAGTCTTTTTTTAAAATAAGTTTTATTTGAAATTATAATCCTAAAAAACAAAAACAAAAAAAAACTACAAACAACATCCATCATCAAAAACATTGGGCCCGCTGGGTCAGCCCCCACTTCTTTTTCCATTTATGATAACTTAAAAACATATTCAAATCTATGCAAAGTCCCATTTCTCTAGCCAATAATAAAAAGTGTCCCAAGTTTGATAGAAGTCTGAACTGTGAATAGTCTTAACTATGGCATACGGCAGGGGTTTCCAAACTAAATTAGGCTATTATAGCATTCCATAGTTTGTTGCAGCTGCAATAAACTTGCAAAGCAGCTACAAATGGATTTTTTTCTGCCACCACTATATTCTGTGAGATAGGAGTGCCACTTGTGTAGAGTTGAATATATGGAATGGTCCTCAGAACTCCCAAAGATGCTCACTTCTTGTTCATGGAAACAAGCCAACTTCAAACCTTGGTTTATGAAGATGGCTTGTTCACCATAGTCAGGATAATTCAGAGTTTAGGGTTTAGATAGAAATGGTAAAAGAAAATGTCCAATTTTGTCATTGAGGCATTACTAGAATAGAACAGAGAAATAAGGATGAGAAACTGAGGATAATTTTTGAATAAAGCCTCACTAAACAAAAGCAAGGAAAAGTGCTCTCCAAAAATATGACTTTTCATAAATGATTAATGCTACAGAAAGTCAAAGGCTGAAGAAAAAGAACTCTGAAATGGATTGATTCCATAACAGAAGCCACAACCTTGAGTTTACAAGAGCTGAGCATTGCTGTCAAGGACGGGACACTTTGAAGAACATTCATTTGTAGGGTTACATAAGTCACAATTCATTTGATGGAATGTCACAACAAGGTGAAGATGGACTGATTTTGATTTCTGTTACAGAAGCAGTAACATATGAAATAATCTGTCAGCAAGTTCATGGACCATTACTTGCAAACCTGCAAAGCTGCTTATGAGAGAGATTTCTGTGCCAGGGATCAAGTTTTGTTAAAGCTGCATGAATACATTACATTAAACTTGCACTCAAAATTTTTGCACTTTGGTAATACTTTGAATTACAATTGAAAGAGGTCCATGGAAGATGCATTTCACAACACCACTGGTGAGTACATATTTCACTCCAACAAATTATATTTGCATCAAGTACAGAAATCACTCAAAGGCGCTATCTTTTGCTAAAAGACATGTTATATTCATTGACAGTAAGTTTATGTGACTTACATGAGAACTTCTCTGCTTAGAATTTATAAGCAAAATGTTTATGACTGAGTCTGTAATAGAATCAGGATATAAAATGACCAGGAAACTGAACTGATCTGTTTTTAAACAGGTACTTGGTACTAAGAGTGATTCATGGGCTACCATATTTTCCTTTAGTTTCTTCTCATATCACTCTAGTGATGTTAGTATACATGAACAATGAAGCAGAAGACAATGAAGTAGTTCTTCCTACATTCCTGTGGTAACTTCGATATACCCTTTCACTTTCCCCTATAACTATTCCAACAACAGTGCATTTTCTGTAGAAATTATTCCTTAGGGAATACATAAGTGCTTACCTCTAGTTCAGATGTCATGAGACAAGATCACCTGATAACAAGGATACCAACTGAGCTAATTCATTTGCTCCTTGCTTCTCTCTTCCTTGACCATGCAAATCCCATCTGACCTTTTCCCCAGCTGCAATCTCTTTGTTTTATCGTGATGTCTGAACAGGCCAAATTGTAGTTCTCACAAACCACAGTTAGACTGAAACCAGTATTAGATTTTGACTTAAATCTTTGGTTAGATGATGGTATGTCTACTGGAAACTAGGGACCCTGTGCGAGGTAAAGTTTGATTTCCTATATACTTATTTCACTTATTTGCATACGTACGTACATACATACATACATATTACTAAATCAAATCAATTAGATTTCCATTGATATATTTCAGCCTCAGCCTCTGTA